GGATGCGGCGCTAGTCCCCACCATATGCATAGACTTGTCTAATTTCTATGGTAGCCAGCAGAACAGTCCATGAAAATGAGAATACAGCGACTTAGATATACAGTGCGTGACCGATCACATGAAATATTGGCCAAAATTCTGGAATGCGTTTCCGATTAGGAAGGATTACTTAAGTGGGGTTGTTGTACTGATTATCATGCAGCAAAACCCTGTAACTTTTCGGACTTCACAGGATATCGGCTTTTTAATGCATCTCTTTTTGACCTCCTACAGAAACCAAACTCGGTAAAAAATGACTTTTTAAGTAGCACGCATTTCTCCCATTGACTTTCGATAGTATCGTAAATTCAGATATATTTTAAGGAAATCAAGCACAAAAAGGTGCTTTCTTTTGCTAATTTAGCAGGAAATAACATTGTCCTCATATTTTAAGCCAAAGAAAGTGTATATTATGGTTTTAAAAAAGTTTTTTTAATATGAGATTTTTAAGACCGTGTGATGTCCACATATGTAAGACCGCACATGCCCGTTTACTAATGCTCCTCAAGAAATGTACAACACAGTCAGGTTCCATTGCAAAATTTCAAGAACTATATGTGGTATATTTTTAAAGACATAGAGGAATATATGATTTTCGTTACGCGGAAAGTATGCACCTTGTAGACTGAAATTCATAAACGCTGATGCAATGGCAGATCAGGCTGAAAATTATTCGGGAATTGGGAACTTTTTTAAAACCAAAATACACACTTTCTTCGGGCATAAAAAATGAAGACAATGTGATTTTCTACCAAATGTCCAAAAGAAAGCACCCTTTTGTGCATGGTTTCTGTAAAATATATTTGAATCTATAGGACAGTCGAAAATAAATGAAAAAAAGCATGCTAATTAAATAGTCATTTTTACCGAGTGTGGTTTTTGCAGGAGGTCAAAAAGACGTGCATTCAAAAGCCAACATCCTGGCAAGTCCGAAATGTTATAGGATTATTCTGTATGATAATCAATATAACAACCCCAGTTAAGTAACCCTTCCTAATAGGAAACGCATTCCAGAATTTTGGCCAACATTTCATGAGATCGGTCACGCACTGTAGACTTGGAAGTAAGTTTCCGGTGAATCAGGGTTACATCCTATAATCCACCTTAAATCTACAAAATATTTCCCCCTGTTTTAAGGCGCTTAGATAGGTTTGGAGACGGCTTTTCGTTCGACTGCCACTGTGAGACTTCAAAACAGGTGTGAGGAACTGATTGCGTGCTGTTATACTGTCGTTTGACGTTTTCAGTAGGTAAGGAGGTGACATCCTTTTAAACGTTCTGACTGAACTTAAGTATAACCACGCCCTCGCCCCTTCCCGAATGAAACCAACCCTGGGCCGCACTGAATCACATGAGCACGGCAAATCCCAACGCCACACCAACCTCGGTGTCAGATGCTTTCCATAATTCCTGCGAGCAGACCCAACCGCAACAACGAAAGTCAACATCGCCGTGCACATTTATTAACTTTGCATCTACTACTAGGCCCTGAATCATTAAAGTAGGAAGCCTGCCTCGCATAACCATGCGTCCTTTCGATTTCATCTTGAACCCTATAAGCGGAACTAAGGTCCCTTTGGGCTGTCGTATGGAATCACCAGGGTTTCTTTCTAGGGGTCTTGTGACAGGCGCTGCCACCAAGAAAAAAATAAACTGAGCAAACTTTTGCTTGTATTGATTTCAGAGCAGATAACAGTTCGACCGTCATGACCGCGATGTCCGCCATGTGCTCCAGAGCACGGCGAGGGCAGGAACGCTGACGGTGGTAGTAGACTTGTGCAGCATCTATCGCACTCTCTCCTTCTCTCCCATCTGCATCTAGTATCAAGACAGGGCCAGGAGTGGGCGGAGGTGTCTGGCACGGCCGGTCCCGCACTTAGGCGTGCCACCACACCCCAGAGCAGATAGACAAACGCTGACTGGGTCATTGTACTTCGAGATAGTGAGTATGGTGAATATACTGTCTGAAGTAGCCTTGGAGATCGCCAACCAGCCATAGACATTTGCCCGGTAAGCGTACTCAACGACCCTATATGCATGGATTTCCGGGTTATGTTTCCGTCTGGCCTCCATACTTTAACGCAGCTGCCGACCTAACTAACAACCAATAAGTGCTCCCTCGCCGGTCGTATGTCTTGAACTGACCAACTTTGCTCGTAGCAGTTATCTGCTTGACTTCTCGGCCTACAGAGCATGACGAGGCGAAAAGGCCAAAAACATCTCACCCTTTATCCTTCAATCGGCAGCATTGAGAAAAACATTGTCCCGCGCTCTACGCGCAGACTTTAAAATGGTTAAATGAGCGATAACCGCGCTTGTTCTCCCTAGGCGTACGCCCCACGTGACTTCTTGGTTCTCGCGAGCGGGTATTTTGCGTTAGCGTACATGCACTTAGTTGATTAGCGTGCACCCAGCCGCCAGATGACAGATCTCCATTATGCCGATGGTATTGCCTTACTCGCTTCAAGTTTTAGTGATTCTACTGCCTATGGTGCCATGGGGTGAATGAGGTCGCTAATTCCGTCGGTTTATCCATAACTGCTGGGAAGACCAAAGTGTTTTCATGCTGCATCCCTGACCAAGAGAAGGCACTTCACGCGATTAATGACTGCCAGCTAGAGGATGTAGACGGTTTTAAATACCTCGAAGCGAGAATGCTGTCGAGTGTACAGAGTAACGACGACACTGTCTCTCGAATCGATGCTGTCCGCTGGGTTTTTCCACGCCCTTAAAAGTGTCTGTGGATTCGACGTGACGTCTCCATCGCCAAGAAGATTCGCGTGTACCGTGCATCCGTCCGGTCAGTCCTTTTGTGCAGTTGTCAATCCTGGGTTGTACGCGTGGAGGACGAGCGAAAACTGGAGATACTTGACCACCAATGGGACAGCGTGCACTCGCTGCAACAACATCGCCCGGATAACCCAGGCTATCCAAGAAAGGCAGCTGAGGTGGTTTGGGCATGTTTTTCGTCGTCCACCTCAGGAGCTCACAGTGTTACTGCCCTCGATCTGGCACCGTTACCTCCTTGGAGGCGTCGATGCGGAGGTCAACCCAAAACCTGCTTTGATGCAGTCCGTCACAACATGAAAGTGGTTCACGGATTTTCGCTATTTGGTCTCCGTCGTTTGCGAAGGGACTGGGTTGACCTGTCCGGATATTTTGCCGCAGACTGTCACCCGTGGAGAAGTGCAGTCCATGACATCATCGAGGCCGGCTAGATCGCAGTCGCCGAAGGTACAAGTACATGCACTTCATCGATCGATTCGGGCTTGTCTCGATTCACTACGCATTTCTCGTCACAGTAACTACCCACCGCTGGCCTTGCCGGCGGAAGCCAAACAAGCGTCCGCCAACGAAGGACTGTGTCCAATCTGACTTACTTGGGCCCATTCCGCAAAAAACACCAGATAAGAGTAATAGTAAGTCCTTCGATGGCTCCATTCGTAAAAGAATGAAAGACCTTCATGACGAAGAACGGACCAATGCTGTGGCCGTATGGTGACTTTAGCCTACTTAAACTTACTTTCTTTGACTGTAGGGTTTGTCTCCAAATTACAAGGACGACTTTCCATTGTGTACAATTATGGCTAAGCTTTGTTATGCCCAATGTCTCCGGCCCAAAGAATTTTTAAAAAACTTGATGGTGAACTATTATTTTTGAGTGCACCCCAGGGTTAACACAGGGATTTAATCTTTCCTCAAGCGCCTAGAACTTACCAGAACTTCCCCTGATATGCCCACTTTATACATAAAAGTATTAAATTTTTACTGGCGGGTCACGCCGCAGATGGCCCTATAAAGTGGTTATGGTCAATTCACTTGACGCAATTGCTACGAATACATTCACGGTTCACCTAAAGTAGATGGTGTCTTCAAAGCTAGATCCAACAGCACCAGGCGGGTGGTGTGTGGATCGTCAAGGATCAGAATGACTCTGGTGGCCTTCTCCTCACGATTAAAATGCTCCTGGATGTGTTCCTTAAGAACGCATCATGAGGCTGCATTAGAATTATCTCGATAACAGGGAAGCGAAACGTTGCCTAAAATCTGACTGCCAGAGTAAAAACTTATTCCAGTGAGATCCCGGCGGCAGGGTTTGCTCAGTCAAAACAGCCGCTTTAAGATGCTACTTCCCATTTGATTCCATTTCGAAAATACAACAGTCCCCCGCAGCCAGCTTCTATAAAACCCGTTATAGTACGATGTCAGCGTTTTTCAGTCTAATCAAAACTTTACCGAAGAGGCCCACGAATTTATGGATACGGATGTATTCGGCGAACGCAAAGTTAGCCTGCTGCCAGCTCAGTTTAGCACATGCCGAAATGGCTTTTCAAGTTAGAAAGTAGAATCCCTCCTTTTTTCCATCATCAGACATCCGTTAGACGATGACCGAACATATCGGACTATGGCATTCGGAGCCACCTTGCATTCGAGAAGGTGAGTCGGACCCGTGTAAAATCGCCAGTGTTGCCCGTTTAACATAACCTTGATAATTTTTCTGACCTACACACCCCATGGTTTCCTCGGAACGTACAATACTTTCTGTGCACCTGACTTCTGTGTATAGTGTGTGGCTCGCATGTGTTAGCCTTCACAAGTTGAACTCTGAAATCTGACCCTGAGGTTATGCTTATCGTCTGAACTAATTGCAAATCAACTATTAGCTCTTACTTGCATTCATACTTCGTTCGCATACGCGTAGTATCTTTTACGAAATGATGGATGCGTACGAAGACGCGTACGCTCAATCGCCTATGGGAATTGCTGCGTCTGTGCTCGAGGTACACTTCCCAACCAATCAGAACTTACGCCACTGTCTGATTGGCTCCACCCTGTATCAACCAATAATGTGGTCTGTGGCGGATGGTTAAACCACTCATGATCGGGCGATGTCTACTAGCCGATCCGCTGGCAGTGCAGTCGCGTCCGTGCACCGGCCTGATGGCCATGAATCGACGCTTGCGTAGGACCGCACTTATAACCACGCTTATTTTGACAACATTGACTTACCTCACCTATCGGGTCATTTACAACTCTACCGACTTTGAGTGGTCATTCGACGCGGAGGCTGACGGGCATGTGGAAACACGAGTGGATTTTGACGGTACTGCCTCGAGCTGCCGGTGCCAGGATGTTGGTCGCAGAAATCGGACTAGGTTTTGGCCGCCCCTGGATACGCGTGATTTACTCTGCGCACGGGACGGTACATACGACGTAACCCTGTGTGTTGACCACCTGACCGAGGCCGGCTCCCACCAGAGGAATAAACTGACTGAGCGGCTAAGAGTACTTAAGTCGCAGAATCCTGATGCCCAGGTAACCGGCTCGGAACTACACCAATGGTACCAACTGGAGGACAGCAGTTTACGTCAGCACTACGAAATGTACCCAATGGCGATCAACATCTCGGATACTCTCAAAAATATTTCTTTGGGACTCCCAGTCACTGAGGTGCGTACTTTTGGCAAATATTTTGTCCCTACGCAGACTATAAAGTACTTTAACAGCACTAGCCCTATTTTCGAGATGTTGCTTTTCAGTCATTTGGGTTCGCTCCCTACCCCTTGAGGACTCCGATAGCGCTTAATTTTCCTCGATGGCGAACTGTCAAACTGGGGTCCTACTCTGTTTTATCTATGAGTTGGTCTACTCTGCCATTGGAGTCCGAAGTTTCCTAACCGATCTTTGCATGTCGACGTGGAATCATCAAGCAAATCTAAGCTGGATTTTTTATCAATGCTCGCTCGCTACTCACTGCCACGTGAGAGAGGCGTTAACCCAACATAGAGACCTGATCGGGGCTCGGAACGTGCCCATAACAATTGCCACACATTGGGTGAGATGGAACGCCTAGGCGCAGGTTCGGGTCGCGTTGGTCCCCTGCGTCCGGTCTCGCCTCCAGTCCCCCTGGCTTTGTCATGCAACTGGGCTCAGGTGCGTGGGGGTGCGGTAGGTGTTGCACAAGTCTACCACCACTATGAAGTAGTTCATGCTCAAGTCGCCGTCCCCGCTTCACCAAGCTGTGAGGCACACGGTCGAACTGTCGATACCTTAGGAATCTTCTTACGGTTACGCGGGGAACGAATTGATCAGATCGGTCGGATGTAAGTTAACATTACTGCTCTACCAAGTCTCACTATCCCAGCTCAATTAGCCCTTTTGACATCTCAGTGATGCCCCGGGCTCCGTGGTTTGCTTACTAAAACACTATATACCTTCTTCTGTCAGCAACTGACCTCTCGTCTGAGTGACGCCCACAGATTCGAGAACTGTCGAGTGTTTATTTGCCACGAGGGCTTCCACAGACGAACGGGTCTCAGAATAATCGGCATCGTCCATAGTTTTCCGGTACGTCCACCTCACTGAATATCAGGCTCCAGTATGCCAGAAACAAACTCCCGTTAATTATCTCTGGGAAAATTTTTCGAAGGCTGCAGTGTACCACTTGCTGGAAACGTAACCTTCCGTGTCATCTGGAAAGACAGTTGGAAGAGAATATTGTTTCCGTTCTGCCAGCTCCCGATCGTTCACAGAGTAACCTCTGAATTCCATTGACGTCTGATTGGGGTCCAACCCCGAGTCTTCGCTTTTACCGCTCTCTTTTGTATACTGTTCGGTTGTGATAGTTCGACCGTCGCATCCGATGATGTCCACCGTGTGCTCCACAGCAAGGTGTAGCAGGCACAGTGACTTGCGCGCGAATTAATTTGTTTCAAGAGTTGGCTTATGCAGCATCTATCGCATTCTCTCCTCCCCACCTGGACCCGGTGTCAAAACAGAATCAAGAGGCGAGGAGGGCGCGGGTGGATGGCGCGGCCGTACCCGTGCCTTGGAACCCCACTCCTCCCCCCTGGTCCACAACAAACATTAGTGAGGAGGATTTTGACCAACAACAACTACGCAAAAGACGTAGATGACTGGGCAGTAATGCACACGACCTGTGGGGGCGCAAGCACATCCACCGGTAGGGAACCAAGTGCCGGAGAACTGCTAGCGCACACCGATCTGCGAGGACCATGGTTTGCTGATCATGGCATCACAGACGCTCACGAACCCTGGGGCCCATTGATCGGTTATCATATCATAGATGCTCCTGCAAGCTAACATTCTCATTGACAAAAAAATCCTTCTAATTCACCTATGGTGGTATGTCGTAATTCAGTAAACGTTGGACAAAAACGTTAAGCACGATTTTAAGTAGAAGGTATTGGTAGAATTCGGCCACAGTACCGATTACCAAATGCACCGTCCAAAAACCCAAGTTATTAAGGGACAATCTTCAACTAAAGGGAAACGCAAAAGAGCATTGACGGTAATACTGCGTTGGGTAGAGCTAGCAATTTTCCTAACGAGGGAGGAAATTCCGAAATCCCCAGTATTCTTGCCAAATTAGTAAAATTAACTTCTGGAAATGAGAAGAACTTAGCGATGAAAACAAGTGAGAAAAAAAGCACCATTAGTAAAGAAAAGCTTCCGGATACTACTTCGGATAAATGTGCTTTAGAAATTAATGTGGTGTCGAATATGGCTTCATGTATACGATTATTTTGCTGAAGGCGGAGTCACGCGAATCTAGCGTAATTTTTCCGCCATTACAACGCTGACGTTGCTGGCCACTAAATCGAGATTTCACGGAACGGGGCGTCAGTGTACTGGACGTTTGCACATGTTGAGAGACCGGTCAGTGACCAAGAAACTGGAATATAATTAGCAGGTGTAACCTCAAACACACCGTTTTCTGCGTATCTAGATTTTTTCCTCCATAAACCTACTGTGGCGTTTTGGCGACGGCGGGGTCCGCCGAGTTCCATGGAGTCCTTGAAATGTCAGTTAATGCTTTGCGCTTTTCATTGTTCTCAGTGTATTGTCCGAAATGTTCGACTGTAAGCTCGTCCAAACATGAACGTCCACAATGAAGATCTATAGCGAAAATGCTCTTGATGAACTGAAAGCCCGTTTCTAATAAATTGTCTTCTTAGATATTGTATTACTATCGTATTTCGCTGGTTAATTTTCGTGTCATCCATCTTTGTCTGGAGCAGTAATAAGTTCTCTGCCCTAAATGACGAAACTGCACCGTCACTGGGACCATTTTCGTCATATTTGCTTATTTTCCGGCTCTGTTCTACGTTGACAAATACACTAGTGCGGCCACATAAATACCAAGGTATTGCACATGCTACTTAGCTGTGCCTGTTGCATCCCTGACCGCTCAGAAAGTATCTAACCAGTCGATTAACATTCAGAATCACCATATCAGTAAGGGCCTTTTCGCGGTTACTTATGTAGTGGGCAAGGATATGGTTTATGGCCGGGGTTACTTACTCGGGGGAGCATTTGTCTTGAGCGAAAGAGCTGAACGTCTAAGAAATTTGTGGTATCACCAAATGTGATCCTCCATATTTTCATCAATTAAAAGGGGTACACACTTTTTATCATTCAATGCTTATAGTAGATAAATTTAATACCACTTTGCAGATACTGTCAAAAAGGTATTGCATTGTCGTACTTTTTGCTTCAATGACCACCTTAAAGCATCTTGACCACCCACACCCAACAGCCACCGCGAGGTGTTTTTATTTCCTTCTCTGGCACGTACAAATCAATATCGTCAGTCATTTCCTTCGAGAACAATTGCTCCCCGGATTAATTAACCCCGGCCATAAACCGTACTCTTGCCATGAAATGCTGTCATATACTTGGAAATTAAGGGTGTGTTAAAACAAAAGATTGTCTGTAGGCGTTATTGCCACTTTTTGGACATGCGCTTGCACAGATTTACAAGGTATTTTCGAATTCGAAAAGTTCCTGTTTTTTCCAGAAGCATCGTGTCTATCGTATCATGCCTCACCTGGCTCACACGAACCGAAAAGGCAATTTTAAGGTCGGCGGGATTTGTTTTGGTAAATCCTTCTGGCTTGGATTAATGTCGGTTACCAGGAAAACCCACCTAAGTCCGTATGGTTAGCTTGGAACAGTTAGTAACATAGGACATTTCCTTCATATAACGTTCATTTCCGTCCAAGATTGCAACATTTTTCGCCGACAGAATATTTTATAAATGTATTCTGCATTAGGATGCACTTTTCTCATAATATGTTAATAAACGATCGAGATGCGCCGAACTGATCATATAAATCTCGATCCTCACGTTTAGTGTTGCCTAATCTACGATGTTGTCTGGGTCATATAGTGTGGATCACGGAAGCATTCGCACATTCTAATTTCCACAATTTTGCCCGTCACAGTGTACAGGGAATTGAAATCTTTTCAGAACGCAGACACACTTCTTTTAGGTATAAAATATCCTACTGAATATGGCATCGTTGGAACAGGCATTTAAATTCGCTGGCACCAGTGCATATTACTTAACCATTTGTTGGGACAATGTCTAGAAACCAGGACTGCAGTAAGATAAGAGAATTCCTAGTTACACTACTGTTTTAGGATATTGAAACACACAAATTTGGGATTCAAAATTTTTAAAAAGAGAGGCAGGGCCTGTAGAGGAGTGTTTACCCCAAAAAGACATGGACCAGCCAGGAATGGACATTTGGGGCCGGTCACAGTCGACATGACGTGGACCTGTCAGTGCGGGATGAGAGCGTGGCTCTTTTACCAACCGGCCCAGGGGTCCGAATCTCGGGTGTGCAGTCCTATCACTGACCTTGAAGAGAGGCCCCACTCTTTCTCTGTTAATACAGGTGGCGTTGCGCAAAATTCCAGGGAGGGCAAATACTTCCGTGTTCCAACCCCAAACCGAACCGCAGTCCTAGATTTCACTCTCACCCTGAACTTGACCCCAACCCTAACCTTGACACTAATCTGTATCACCCTGGAAATTAGCGCAAGACCCACGGAATAGGGGGGGGGTGGCGAGGTGGAGGTTCCGTGCCCCGATGACTTTAAATAAGCCAAAAATGACCATTTCAGTCCCCCTCTGTCGGCAAACGCATCTCAATTACCGATGGCAAGTCGTCATGCTACCACCCACGTTGGGGGAGGGGGGGGGCGGTTATAAAAACCCAGTCCATTTCCCTCTTGCAATCAGGATATATGGACGCACTCTGGTGAGCCCGATTAGCTACTTGTGGAAGAAGAAACGACTATCCGAAACTCAGATCATTCCCCTCATGCACTCGGGACATATCGACGCACTCCACTCTCGCATGCGGATAGAGTCGTACGCTGGGCGTCCGATAATTCGGTCAAAACGTCGGGGCTTTCACCTCCTGTCGTACGGTACTGACACGCGAATAATTCGGTTTTAAAAAGCCTTTTCGATTTCCGAATAATTTTGAACCCGAACTGGCGTTACACTTGCATTCAGGGTTTCCAAACTACAGGCTGTATATTTTCCGTGTATGGAAAATCATACATTTCTATACGGTATTAAGAGGAGACCCCTCGTCAAGCAAAATGAAAATAAGAAAGTTAAATTTTCACACTAGACCATTTGGCGCGACAGGACAGACAGACCTACGGTGTATGAGGAGTCTAGTCACGAAGTCATAATAGGACTCTGAGTGAGGGTGGAGTGGAGACGGAACAACTACGGCACCCTACGCTGGAGGGAGAGGATGGATGGTGGATCAGTGAAACTCCGGGCGGCTGTATTAGCGGTTGTTGATGTGCGATTAGGACAGAGGTCAGTCAGTCGTGAACGTAGACCTTCGTAATGGGTATCCAGGTCAACGTGACGGTTGATATTACGCGCATTAGAGTACCAAGCCTAGAGAAATTCCCTCGCTCGCTTCGTGTTAGCCATGGCGACGACCTTGGTGCCATCCCAATTGAATCGGTGGTCGTGCTCGTGCGCATGGGCTAGAACGAGGGACAGGATGTCTCGCCGATGGATAGCTAATTGATGTTCACTGATACGGGTGCCCAGGCGTCGACCCATATGACCAGCGTACACGCAAAAGCAATTTACGCACGGGACGCGATAAATTACTGTTGATACTTGCTCTTTGTGGATCTGCTCCTTGACCAGAGATAGGGCTGCGCTTTGTGAGGATGCCCGTTTGTGGGCAACGTGAATACCCAGTCGATTTAACTGCCAGACGATTATTTCCGAGGTTTCCCGCATATATGGCAGGGAGTATAATTTTCGTGCCACAGTATCTCCGTTTGGGGTGAGGTCTTGCGGCTGTGTCTGGTGCCTGAGGCAGTTCTTTATAAAACACATCAGCATCACCCATCGCCCCACAACGCAAGCACTAGATTGGCACCTCTCGTTTAAGTGAGATGTGTGCTTGTCGGCCCCTTCTCCATGTGGCTCTTCGCTGCATGTGTGATCCGAGCCTGAGACTATCACGGTTCGCTAAGCATCCCGGCTTGGAAGGTTACCGACTTACACCTCAACTCAGTCCACGCTATCAGTCCAGTTGTGTGTTTGCGTGGAATGGCTGACTGGTGGGCTGAGAATCAGACTGTTACGGCTCCTTCTTAACGTGACCTCTTTCACTTTCAGGCATGTGAGGAGTGTGTGCGTGTGTGTGTAGACTGTTAGTCCCTCCCAGTCGACGACTGATTGGTGACCCGGCCTTTGAAGGGTGATGACCCAGGCTAAATGCTGGACTCACCTTTCTGGGCTTTAAGGATTGTATGTAGTTGTGTCACGCTTCAGCAAACCATGACCCTCGCAGCCTAACTAGCGTTGGCAGTTTTTCCCTGTCGCCGGATGCGTTTCCGCTCCCGCTGGGTTTACAGGCCGTGTGCATGGTTGCCCGGTGACTTGTTTCACCCTCTTCTCCTTCTGACCAACTTTTGGTTGTTGTTTAGAATCCTGTTCAAGTGTTTGTTGTGGACCAGGGGGTGTGGTGGTACTCGTAAATAAGGGTACGGCCCCGCCAGACCCCTGCACCCTCACCCCCCTCTCAGGCGGGGGAGCAGAGGGTGCGGCAGGTTCTGCACAAGTCAGCTCCCAGTATATACTAATTTAAGCGCAGGCCACCATGTCTGTTTTCACCTTTCTGTGGAGCACACGGTGGATAGCGTCGGGTACGACGGCCGAACTGTCATATGGCCTATGATGTACTGATGGTCGGTGCCGACCGTGACACAGCTGTCTGCCTCTGGCTTGTTGCACTCTTGGTGAGCTAATTACGTATTACACGTGGTATGTGTCCCATTGCACAACGTTTGTTGTCGCAAGTAGGCATGCAGAGTGTGACCAAGTGATTTCCCAACAACGATGAGAGTCACCTGCTGATATATCTCGCTCAAAAATGACGCCGGCTTGGTTGCAACGCAAATTTCGAATCGATTTAGTTGCCGGACGATCACTTCACAATTTTCCCGCGTATAGGACAGGGAGGAGAATTCCTGTGGCACAGTATTCCGTTAGAACTGAGACCTGGTGCTTGTCCCTGTCATCCAAGAGGGGTTTTCACAAAGCTAATCCGTTGGACAACGATAGCTGATATAAGTAAAGCCGGCACCTTCTCGAGCAGGTCGTCACTGCTGCAGTTAGTAGATAATTGGGGCCCATCGTTATTTCGAGCTGCTTCCATAATGGAGTATGTCTCCAGCATTACATCTTTTCCTCTAAACTCTTGTTGAGCAGTCACCACTACTCAGTCTTTGTTCAATGTCTTTAAAAAATCGGCATGATGCGTCTTTACGGATGACTTATGTTGCAGGAAGAGCATCATCCAGCCCCTGATGCAGTGGTTCAACTTCGAAATTCTGATTTGACATGAGTTTGCGTACCCCCTCCCATACTACGGGTGATCTCCCAACCCTAACCGTCCCATGAAGTTTAGCAGAAGGTGTTCATATTACCGGGCACCACCATAGTGTTCCAGGTGTCAGTCACGCAGCGAAGTTCGAATAACGTCTTTTTATGGTAGTTGTATGATTAGCTCAGCCGGTAGTCATGATAGTGGCGAGCCCACGGACGCCCCGTACTCTCTCTCTCTCTCTCTCCCTCTCTCTCTCTCTCTCTCTCTCTCTTTCTCGAGAGTACGTGTTATTAAACAGACAGCTTGAACGAGGCAAAAGCGAAGAAAAGAGTATGAAGAACTTAATAGCGTCATCAAATCTTATGATCTATTCAACTACTCACGGTCATGTGGGGTGATAGGGTCGACACTATGTGGGCTAGTCAGTTTGCGTTACAACGAAACCTCCTCAAGCGTGATTACGACCGTATAGCATGGGACGTGAATGGGTCATGTGAAGGGGGCGAAAGGGGAATGGGGTTATTGGGTCATTGACTATTATCATGGCAGCCCGAGGAGGATTACGCAATCCGACCGCTTACATCGTTATGGCTTCTCCTCAGCAGTTGGATATAAATGCTCAATGTCGGTTGAGCAATCGACGTACCAATGAAGTTGGTGTGCTTGCCGAAATGGTCCTGTTTAGAGTTCATATTGAGACAAATGTTTTGAAAGAAAAAGTATGTCGGCATCCTGGGGAAAAAACTCATACTGCTCTTCACAACAGGGGATTTTATTAGTTTCATCTGTGTTGCTACATATCACCAACTTCCTCAACCCCGCCATGTTGTCCTCCATTATTCGCACGGGCAACCTGTATCTCTCTCCTGCCTGCCGTGCTTTTCCTCTTTACTACCCCTATTTTTTTCTAATCGCTACATCACAGCGACCTTCATCTTTTTATTCGGCTTGATGGCGTGTGGGAAATAGGTGTTTTGATCGCTGTCCGCACTCCCATGCGACCAAGCAGCCCTGATTACATTCGTTGACGCATGATGCCGCGGCGCATCTGGCTCAACAGTTAACTGAGTGCGAGACCAAACTCTGGGTGGACGTGGGGGGCGGCGCAGACCGACGGTGATAAATGAGGCAGAAATGATCATTCTAATCCGCCATAATTTTGTCTGCAATATCTGCTTTTCCTTATTTCACGTTGCTATTTTGGAGGGGGTTTGAAAACAAAAATTCACTTTTCATGTGTAGTCGGTTGAAAGAAACAGCACCTGACGGAAAGTACTTTTATTTGCTTGCGACAGACAGAAGGACTCGTTTTACTGGCCTCGTCACCGAGATTTCGCAATTTCTGATGCATCTCTCGTTAGGTTGAGGTTTTGAATAACTTTAAACGGTCTTGCAGCAACTATTGAATGCCTTTCTCCACCGGGCGAAGGGGCTGCTGCGCTGCTGGTTTGATTAACCAGAACGGAGGCCGGACTGACACGCCATAGACGTAGGCCATCAAGCCACTGCGTTAGCCAATCCCCTTGCCAGCTGGTTGACAGACTCGGACAGCCGCCAAGGGCATGGGAGAGCGAAGAGGGGGACCGACGCGGGGAAATTCATCTTCGCAGCACATCGCTGCATTCATCTCTGGGGCAAATATGACGTGGTTGAATCAGCCACGACGCGTTAAGGGTCGGGGATTGGAAGACTGCCAACTGATGGGATTGCTTAGCCCCTCAGCCGACTGCGAGTCAGACTGCAACGACCCTCTACGATGTGACCCTCATGGCGCTGTCACGCATGCGAGATTTTACCCGGCATTACTGTACCCTAGTGCATGCAGTAGGGACCAGGTCGCGCGTGTGTGTGGCGCGCGTAGATTGGCTGTTTAGCTTTGTCAGCCACTGCGCCCACGCCCACCTCTGACAGTCTTAATACAGTCATGCCATCGGAACAGTGTTTATGAGGGATGGAAGAGTGCAGCAATCGCCTACGGCACCCAAACAACCATTCATCAACTCTCCTCAGCTGAGACCAACAATCATAGTATCACTGGCGCGTTCACGGACGACGGATATTAGACTGGCCTCCAACGGAGTAGACAACCCGCCAACGTATGTAGACTTCCACTTTTGACAAGTAACCAGCAGTTCTGCTAACGGGCTGCACAGATCTGAGGTCTGACACGCCCACCACCCTATTAAACACCACACCCTGCTGACAACTTCGATATGGTGATCGTTAAGCCCCAGTAAGTAGACTCTCTAGTCACCGCCGCCCTGCTCGTATTCACTGAGCCGAAACGCAGGAAGAGACAACCTGAGCGAAATATTTGGGCTCTTTTTGGTGACCGCCCGTACCTCAAGTTCCCCGGCACATCTCTTGACATTGGAGGCCGGCCATATCAGGTATGATCAAATTCACAGCGATAAAAAATTACAGTCTCAACCCTGTAATATGATCTTATATAGCGTTAATACTGTGCGTATTCTAGTCCATAGTTCAACTGTTACAAGCTACATGGTATTCTACTGTCCCCCAAGAATGAGACCGGCCGCAACTTACGCATGAATTGGTTTATAGTCAGGCGAACTACTGCTTCGTGTTCCATTGGCAAGAAAACTTCAAGACAATCCTACGTCCACGTGGGCGCGGTGACCGATAAAACAGTCCATATTTGCTTGTCTTACGCCGTCCGATCCCCGTTGCATTCTACTCCGACTCCGATGTGCAAGTTAGGCCCACCTGACATTTCGGCTTTACGTTGAAAACCGGCACCAAGAATAGCAATAATTAAGGTTAGTGGTTACTCAAGGGATATATATACAGTAGATGTGCTAACTCATGAAATGTCAACCAGGATTTCGAAATGCGTTCTCGTTTCGAAAAGATAAATTAAGTAGTGTTGTAAAACTGATCATGATGCAGCATAAATCTATAATGATCCAATTACCTCAGGGTGTCGGCTTTCGAAAGAACTTATTTTCGGTTGCATGCAAGATCTATACTCTGCAAAAATGACTACTTAAGTAGTATGCAATTTTCTCGTTGATTTTCGATGCCCTTGAAAATTCAATTATATTTCATGGAAAACATGCATAAAAATATTCATTCTTTTACTTATTCGGTAGAAAATCACATCTTCTCCCAATTTTATTTTCGAAAGAGGGGTATAATTCTGTTGTAAAAAAAGTTTCTAATTCCCAAATAATTTTGAACCCGACCTGCTGTTACACTTGCATTCAGGGTTTCAAAACTACAAGCTGTGTATTTTCCTTGCATGGAAAGCCATGCATTTCTCTACGGCGTTAAGAGGAGATCATATGAGGTTCATAAAATTGAGCAGCGGATTTGGGCAATATTGTTAACTTTACAAGCCACATTCGTAAATGCAGATACATGACGTTTCATGAACGGCCATTTAACGGTATTAAAAAAATCTCACAGTTAGAAACTTTTTTAAAACAGAATTATACTCTTCTATTAAGTATGATATTGGAAGAAGACGTGATTTTCTACCGAATAAGTAAAAGACTGAATATTTTTATGCATGTTTTTCATGAAATATAATTGAATTTTCAAGGGCATTGAAAATCAATGAGAAAATTGCATACTACTTAAGTAGTCATTTTTGCAGAGTATAGATCTTGCATGCAACGGAAAATAAGTTTTTTCGAAAGCCGACACCCTGAGGTAATTGGATCATTATAGATTTATGCTGCATCATGATTAGTTTTACAACACTACTTAATTTATCTTTTCGAAACGAGAACGCATTTCGAAATCCTGGTTGACATTTCATGAGTTAGCACATCTACTGTATATATGATGGTAGAGGGGACGCTCACTGATCGTTTCTACGGAACCCACTCGTCCAGTTGTGCCTCAGGGCTCTCTCGAGCCCCACCAGCAGCCGCACAAGACAACGGGTCCGTGGCTCAGTGGTTAGAGGTGTTGGACTTCTAACTAATTGGTCGCGGGTTCGAGTCCCAGGTGTTCCACACTTCGGGGTCGGGTATGACTGGCTGACGACGGCTAATAAGCCAGAAATGGCCATTCCTGTTTCCCTTCTCTTTGTCGGTAATAACATACTGCCCATATCATGCGCCGCTGTGCGGCTACTGGTTGGGCTCGAGAGAGCGCCCGTAAAGCACAACGGAACGAGTGAGTTCTGTAAGAATGATCGGTGAGCGGCCCCTACCTGAGAAACGTAATCTGACATAGGTGAGATTCTTTGTAAACAAAATAATCTTTATTTCGTAAATGTCTGAAACTGATTCCCCAACTCGTCGTCAGACTTCTGGGTCATGTACAAAAGCAGTTAAATATTTAACCGTGTCGAACAAGTGATTCTGTAGTTGATCGAAGTCGGCGCCAATGCACATAAATCGTGGTTCGTCATCCCTTCGGCTGTGCTCGCTTCCATTTCTCCTTCAGAAATGTGTACACGGCGTCTAAATCGATATGCCGATTGATGCATGTCTCATTTGAATGCGTTGCCATCAAAATTCGCAGCCCCCGTATTCATAGGAGGTGCTGGTGTTTGGAATTTGAGTGGCCTGATAACCCGCATGGGAGTCATGCATTTCTGTAATTTCATTACCTATGTTGGTTGCTGACAATATATATTTTTTGGCCACTTGTCCCACCAGTCCTGTCACTTGAATCGGTGTCCACCTGAGCGCTTCCGCCTAAGTTACCCACCAAGACAAAGTATTTGTACCAACCAGATGGAGGGAGATCATCGCTCTTGTTTTCGGACAGGTTAACCATGAACTGAATAGCTCGTGACTCGGACGCTTTTCACCTTATGGGTCTTGAACCTCACTTGCGTGAGAACGCCATCAGAAAGACGTTGCAGTCCGACCATCAGTTGGCCCGAATTATCCCGCCGGAATACTGCGATCATCAGTACATTGTGCTGGTTTCCAAATTCTCCTGCTTGTTTTTTGGTGAGGAAACTGCCCTCTTGATGTGAACTGCACCAACCGCCCTCGCCTGTCCGAGTCAGGATGGGATTGGACGCATTGGCTGACGCGCGCGAATTCAGGTTTCCCAGACGTAAGAATCTGGGAACCCTTGCAGTCTGACCCTATTTCCAGGGTCCCGCAGGGCCGTCTCTTCAGCTGGCAGCCCCCATCTGGGTCACTCGCTCGATTTTGTTTTCGTGAGAAATGCGCCTATTTTTCATGACGAATGGCCGCTCAACAATGACCCTACTCCCGGTACCGGTACGTGTACCGGTAGCCTGCCCCGACCCGTCGGAGCACCTGCCGGGGTTCTAAATGGGACTCAGGGCCCTGCTCCATATAGGTAGAATTTACTCGCTCACGTTTCGTGGTCAACAATAAGCTACGAAGCACACTGCGTAGGCTGATATCTGCGACAACAAAATCCGAAGGCGAGAGGATTCTGACTTGGTTTCTATTTATCACCACATCCATCGGCTTTCATAAGTCGCCTGTATCTCATCCCGCAATCAGAAAAAAATCAATAAATGTCATTCCTGTATGAAAATGTCCGTCCGTAAACACTTACTGCAAGTGTCTCTGGCTGTCCCCGGGTACGAGTGACTGTGCTTCGGAAGCACCAGACTTCCGATGACTTATTTTTTTTCTTGTCTAAGTTGACCAATCCTCCTTCCAGCCCCCAATCTACCTTGCTCCACCGTCCTCTTTTTTATTCCAGGCGCCAATTACAAACCCAAACATTAAACTTCTCCGAGTCAGCCAGTCTATTTGTCCGCCAACAGACTCGACCAAGAAGCCTACCCCTCACCACGACCTCGTGGTGGTCTACAAGTCAGCCATTTATAACTTCGAGGACCGACAGAAACTGCGCTCCGAGTACTCAGAACTGAACAAAGCAACCAACAACCGCATCGGCATCGTCTTCTCCGTCGGCACGCCTCGAAGCACAGGTGGAAATACCTTCCACATGAACGGCTTTTCCATTAAGCTGCCCGAGCGTGCTGGCGCCGTGCTCAAAGACTGGAGCGGACGCAAGGAGGAGGCCCTTCGAAAAGTTCAGGAGGAAGCAGACCTCTACGACGATCTCATTGTGGGCGATTATGAAGACACCTACGTGAATCTGACCTATAAGATGATTACCAGCTACCGCTGGGCATCGGCTTTTTGTCGTGGTAAGGCGGACGCCTTCCTGTTCCTTGATGATGACTATCGTTTCAGCCCGAACAACGTCCTCAAGTATCTTGACACCCTGGAGCCGCAAGAGAAGGCCCACCTCCTGGCGGGACCCCTAATGAACTGGCGTAAGGTCATTCGACCCTTTAAGGACCCGTCTCGCAACAAGTGGGCCGTCACCGCAGACGAGGTTCCCTGGCCCGATTTCCCGCCCTACTTCTGGGGTGTGTCCTACCTTGTCGGCATGGATGTCATCTCAGACTTGGTTGTGGCCACGGCCTACACCCGATTCCTCTGGGTGGACGACTCCTTTCTGGGTTTCGCTATCGCCAAACTACCCTATACCTTTGAATCCATGAAGGGTTTCTACATGGAGTTTGCGAACCACCAAAAGGCCCTTGTCTCCCATGAGCCAATTACGTTTTCTCTCAAGATGCTAGTCGATAATCTGAATCAGCTGAAAAATGCCCTGCACATTTAATTGTTTCCTTTCAAACTTCGGCCATTTACAGTGTCTCCCGTCATCTTTCTTTGTAAATCAACATATTTTGTATGACTTTTCTACGACTTTCTTATTCCTTAAGCAGTAAATTTGGTCGATTTGTAAATATAAATATGTATATGCACATTAATCTGAATTCTACTGAGGCGTGGAGTGGTGCTCCCTAAGCTAAAATTAAACACCGCAAGTGCTTTCTTTTCGGGATGTTGTAATGAGTCCCTTTTCACGCGAATACCACTTGC